CCAGCGAATGCAAAACATTCAAATAAACATCATTTGAAGAGCGTTTATGCTAAGTTTCATTACGAATTAATGTGTAAAAAAAGCCTGTGGGTCTGTTGGCTGGTTTTATTTCTCTCGCTCGCCCGGATTCCTTTTAGCAAAAGCGCATTCAATTAAAAACAAAGAATAAACTCTATCTAATGGAAGCGAGCACGGTATTTCGCCTTGCGATCTTTTCGACATTGCATCGGTTCATGAAATTCGGTATGAAAACTCAGTTTTGCCGCTGCTGCTGCTGCTGTTGCATTGAGTAAAAGTCTCTGGGCAAAGCGACCACACTTTATGTCTTTATATTCATCGTTTATCGCACAGAACAGGTTTTTGATTCATTTTATGCATTGTATACTACTACTCATATATGCTGGAGCCTTGTCTTTAGTCAAGCATAAAAATTGCTCGTTTTTTTCTCGAATCTTTTCCTATGTTTTATATTTTCCATTCCTTCCATACTGAAAATTACGCTTGCCTTGTGTGTGTACCTATATATCAATTGCAATAGAATCAAAATGAGTATTCAAATCGGCCACAATTTCAATGGGAATTATAATTGTTGTGTTTGCCTCGAATCGCGATGATTTGCAACGATAATCGTTTATTGAACGTGAATCGAAAACCTGAATTGTGGAAGAAAGCCGAGCATAAACAACGTTTGGAGATCAAGCTTTATGCTGAGACCAAAGCCGTTTGCTTTTTTTTCGTGCTACTCAAAAATTACTTTGGCACAGAGTTCGTCGCTTGAACACACACTCACATTCTTTTTCTACTGTGGAGAAGAAAAATCTTAAAATTCCATAGATCAACCGAAAAATTCTCAAGCATTTGAGGGCACATCATCATTGAGTTATGGCATTCAGTGCAACAATTAATTGAACCAAAACAAATTGAAAGTTGAGCGAGTCAGTTGCAGAAAAAAGGATGCAGAGAAACCAAAACTTAGTTGGCCGCTTAGTTTGAAAATGTGGTTTCGGTTCCACCTCAAATGATTAGGTTTTCGATTTGCAGTGTCGCGAAAATGGTATTGCCACCGCGAGACCAGTCGGTATTCGCTTTGGAATTTTGTTGTTTTGGTTTCGCAAACACGAAACAGCAACAAAAATGAAAAACAACCGAATGACGAATGCAGAATGCATGCAGGTAATAAGAGACGTCGGTTTTTGGTTTTACCAAACGCGCGAGCGCGCACACTCATAAGCACAAAATGGCTCGAAAACAACCAACGATCGATGACGACAACGACAACGACAAGGAACCAAAACGGCACGAAGTGCGTCAAGGCAGCGCAAAAGAGTAAGAGACTTGGACAACGCGCACGCCCGCAAACACCGAGAAAAACGAGAACTCAGTTGATAATGATCATATTCATTCGTTGTGTTTTGGTTTTTTTGCGTATTTTCTGTTGATTTGGCGAATATGAGCCGATTGAGTACGTGTTGCACTTCAGTAAGCAATCGGTGTGTTCAACTTCGATTTTTTTTCTTCTCTCGAATCTGATCTGAGGTCTGTTTGTGTGTTTGAGTGAGTGTATTAGTATCAATGTGAATTTGAGCCAGCATTTCGAAATGCAGAAAATTTGTTTATGCTATCTTGCTGGCTGCACACAGCGTTCGCGCTTGTTCAACTCAAAAATCGTGAATATATTCTCTTGTCTTTTGCTGTAGTTTAGCCAAAGATTTTCCTGCATTTTTCCCTGATAAAACGTGCCTCATTTAAGAGTCCGAAAACATCCGCGACATGCGATTGTATTATATTTCTTGAATGGAATATGAGAGCCGATCGCTGATTTCGAATCGCAAATCTTGTGTGACTCTATGTATTTCTCTCCTGTACTGTTTCTTTTTTTCTTCTCGGCAAAAATTTGCATCGCAAAAGAAAGGCATTTGCATTACCGATGGAGAGAGAGAGAGAGAGAGAGATAGAGAGAGAGAGAGAGAGAGATCGGGGAAGAGAGCGCGGAGTAGATGAGACTCACCACACCGAGGCAAGCGCAAAATTTACTAGTTCGAAAATGAATGTTGAAGCACAAAAAAAATCATCAAACCGACTCAACTAAAGTCTACCAAGAAGTAGGCACCCATAAAAAATGGTCTGAAAGAGTTATTGTATCGACATTTTTGCACCGCCAAGTGATTTTATGTTGGACGCAGCAGCAGCATTTATTTCATCGGCATAATTTCATTCGTTCGCTCGTTGCTGTTCTGTTCGTTTTTTTCTGTTTTGTTTCAATACAAATCAGGCAATTGTTTATTGTTCCATCTAGTTGAATGGGGCTCCTTGTTATTTCACATCGTTGTGCTTGAACACCAACAACTGCTCGGTTGCTCTCGCTTGCCCGCTCGCTATAGATCACACTCGACTCTATGAGTTCGAGTTGTTTCTTGTTTTCTTTCATTACTTCGTTTTTTTTTCCTTGTTCTGATCCAACTGGCCGTTCTATTCCGTGCTGGCATGCCATTTGAAGCGAAGCGATTGTGCTCTCTTCACAAAAAAATAATTCTTAGTCAATTCTAAATTCAATAACCCGTAAGTTTGTGAAGGCAACAAAAGACGCGATAAAAAATCTCATTGCGAATAATCCATAAAAAAGTACAGATGCTTGCATTTGCTAGCTTTCAGTATTTGCGGTCAGCGGCGACAGTGGCGGCGGCAAAAACCTAACTAAAGCTCTCTTGTCTTATGAGCGAGCCAAGGCTGCTAAATATTCAAATCGATTACGTTTAATTTCTTTATTGGTACTTGATTTGTTGTTTTGCTTTTAAGCATTTCCATATATATGGCATGACGATTCTCTCTGTACTTGCGCTGCATTGTCCGTCGGGCCACTCCAAATCGTATCGGTCCGAAGCAACGAGATAACAGAAAAAAAACGACTGTAAAATTAATAATTTAGCCGAGGATAATGGTAATTTTGTGCAAGTAATCTCGGCAAATCTATATATTCACTTGGCTCTTATTGAGAGTCCACTTTGAACGAACGAATAAAAAAACTACCGCAAAAAAAAGATAGAATAGCAAATTTACAACGGAATTCCAATTGGACAGAACTGCTGCTGCCGCAAAAAAAAAGCGACTGCTTAATTCCACGGAGTGCTCAGAATAAAAACAGCTATTTTCGTAATTGTTGCGCCGCAAAATCCGCTTTTGAATTGTCCAATTCACATTTTAATTTGCGAGCAATTTGAATCATTACAACAACAACTACGTGAGCAACAGAGATAGAGAGAGAGCAAAAGAAAGAGAAAAAAGCGAGCCAATCTCGGCTCACACATTCTCCGTTGGCGAACGTTGTCACGATCACTCCGAATGCGGCACAGCAAAAAAAAGAACATTGTGCATAGATTATCGCTCAGTGGGATAGAACCCATCGCGCTGTTATAAATGGACTGAAAAAGATCCACCGATCATAAAAAAATACCGAATAAAAGAAGCAAGAAAAAACTGCCGTCGAAACGATGACGTTCGATTTATCTCGACTTATGAACTCAATCGAAATGTCGTTGAATCGTGCGGGTTTTTGTTTTCGCATCTCTCTCAATGTGTGGTTTCTCTCTTCAATCCCCATTAAATTGGCCATTGAATTGGCGACTTAATTGAATCAACAGTTTTTATCCATCATTTCGAAATTGCTACGGCTTATTGCTTTTGTTTCTCTCTATTTCTAATTTAGTCGAATTGGCCTATTCAAATGCAGATTTGTCATTTGGCTTGTGATTCTTTTTTTTTCATCTCAATCGTATTTTCGATTTCTTTTTATGTCGTTCAACAACGATATTAGTTCCATTTTGTTATTTTTAAAGCTTCTGAAAGGAAATTCAATCTGAGAAATAATTTTTTATAGAGACACAGAAATAGAGAAACAGAAGAAAAAAGAAACTAATCAACGAACCACGGCTTAGAGAAGATGATCAATGATTTGATTTGTGTGTTTGTTTCTGCGGAGTTCAATGGATCGGCATGTGTTTTGAAATGATGAACAAACACGTATACATGGAGCTGTGTGCTATGTGACGACGACCATATTGTGACTTATCAAATTTGTTCGATAGATTAGCTTAGGAATGACAACAGTGTAAAATATCTCGTTCTTTTTCACTTTGATTTTCGAGAAATGCGTCAAGAGCGCACGACGTACGGGCAAAAGTAAACACAAAAAAGACGGCCTGAACCGTTATTTGATGAAGCATATTATCATAATGTCTCATGTTTGATTCGACGGTTGTTGACAACCAAACAGACATTAACACATTTAATCTTGTTGATATTTTCTTTCATCGCCCGTTTTCATGCCTTCGGGCTGAAAAGAAGTGCTCAGGTGCACCTGTTAATCCGATTCTTTCTCTGAAGTCGTTTCTTTTTTCCCCTGCTTACTTTGTCTTCATTGTATAAATATATCGAAGCCTTAATATGTTTACTTACGCGCTTGCGCCGTAAATAACCGATTTAGATAAGGCTCTCTTCGTTTTTATAATTCCAAGAATTCCAATGAATAAAATGTATATCGCATCAGTTCCACTCTTCGGTTGGCATCTAGCTTGCTCGGCGGCCGCTTGTTTTTATCATTTCGTTTAACGTATTTTTGTCTCTCTCTATCCCCGATATATTCTCTCACTTCACGGGTCGACGGTTTGAGAGAAACAAAAAGAAAATGCATAAATTAACGCTAAACCAGTTCATAGCAATCGGTTTTATATGGCCTTGCTGACGCTGAAGGTTGTTCCATATTTTTCTGTATGAAATACTAATTGCATTTGGTCGCTGGCTCGCTTAGAACCGACCGAAGAGCTCGGGCGATTCACTCAAAAAGGAATTATATCAACCTGTTCGCATCTCTCAACATTGCGTTATTTATTGTAATGGCAATTATCGGAATGATGAACCATTTCGAATGTGTTTTTTTCTTCTGAAATCACAACGGAAATTTCATAGCATTAATTGTTTTTTTCTTTCTTTATTCTCAATTGTAGACGCTTCATCGACAAACGAAGCTGTTCATTTGCAGCAACGCCTGAAAAGCCTGAGTAGCGAATTGGTCACGTTGCGGAATCGGTTGCATGTTGACAATACCAATGTTGATGTGACACTGACTGGCGACGCTACCACTGGCGCTGCTGTTAATTTGGTCACATCACCCAATCCAACGACAAATCTAACCAATGGACCATTCGTTACGAATCATTCAAACATGCAAATCGACTCAACAGCAATACCCATAGCTAACAAATCCAGTCCAAAGGTAAAAAAAAAGAAACACCAAACACAAAACAATGGGAACAAAAACGAGACTTTCTTAGTTTTTGTTTCGTGTGTGAGTGTGCTAATAACCGCAGCCACTGCATCAATTAAAAACGATTGACAAGTTGTTGTTTTATTGAATCTCTCATTCATTTCTTCTTTCTTCTTTCTCCACACACAAAAAAAGCAGGCATATCAAATGACTTCCAGCAACACTTTGCCGCATGGAATCAATTCCGTTCCAATAGTTTCACCCAGAAATACCTCAATACCTCATCCACTACCGCATCATATCACAGGAAAAAATCATGGTAATTTAATCGATTCTTATTTAATTCACACACACAACATAGAAAATTCATTAAGAAAGAAACATATAATTTTCACTGGGTTAATTGGTCAACTATCGATCGAACGATCGGATAACTTGATCGAGTGATAGTCACAAGCGTTCAATTGCATTTATATTGATGTCATTCGACTCGGTTTTGGTTCTCTTCTTCTTTTTCCGTAATATAGAAATTGCTGGCAACGGAGGAACACTTCGTCGTGTACCACCTGAAATTGTTGCAAATGAAATCATTACAAAGCCACACGCAAGGATCATCTCGCCCAGCAAAACCGTCACCAGTCCGCATAAAATTTTGGCTAAAGACATGGAAGATTTAATCCACCTGCAAGGACCGCTCACTGAAGATGCCGTCATGCGAACGCTTCAAGCACGTTTCAACGAGCACAAATATTTTGTGAGTAATTTTTTCATTTTTCTCGGCATTTCCAAAACATGAAATTATCATCGCTTCTTCTGTGCGCCATTCATCCTTCAGAAGGTTCTCATTTTTTCGGGGGAAAAAAGGTGCCTGTTTTCAGTAGAGGAAGAGATAAAATTTCATTCACTTATTTTTGCAATAATTTTTTTGTTCGAGAGAATGTCCGTAAATTTGAGTTACATAAGTATGCATTTGAACTGTAATTATCATGAATTAACGTGATGCTCAAGAGCTACTCCACGATGATTGCTTGTGGCCGATGCTTTGAACGCACATGCAAAGTCCAATTTTTCCATTCACAAATTTTTATGCACTGATTCATGGTTTTAATCTGTTGATGCGTAAGTAATGCTTAAGTTTGTGGTAAAACTATGGTGATCATGATCTTTTTGGATGATTTTACATACAAAAAAGATGAACATGCATCCATTTGATCGATTAATTGAAGCGTTGCTAATTCGAGAAGAGGAAAAATTTGACTATTCACTTGGCAATCGTGGGAATATGCCGTTTTCATTCGATTGCATTTCAATCAAAATGATGGGCTTTAAATTAAAACGGTATCATTTTATAGCAAATACGTGTGCATAATTCCCTGAAAAACATATTAAATCACCTGGCTACTCTGATCCATTCGTTACGTTGAGATTTCAATTGAGCTGCAAAGAAACCCACCTTTCTCAGCGGATTGCAGATCATTGGTGAAAAAAAAACGCACTGCTTGCAAGCAGAGTAATTGAAGATTCATGCAATCATCAAATTATACAGAACAGGATAATCAAAAGGTATGAACGTTGGAATCAGAATGGGAAAAAATGGGATTTTTGTGGATACCGTTACGACTTATGCAGATCATTTATATATCAAGTGCATTCCTTGCGGCCACAAGAAAAAACAAATCATTAGTCACTTGCAAATAACCGGAAATATAAAGTGCGTACGATCATCATTGATCAAACTCAGCAACCAATAAGAAAATGCACCGTTTCTTTTCATTTCAGTTGGCATACAAAATTCCAGTTCAAAAAACTTGAATTTCGAACCAAGTTCTGGAAATTGGATTTCGTTTTTGCATATAATATTCAAGGAGGTCGAAATAATTCCCATAAATGGACAACAAATTATTAAAAACACATCAACAATTTGTGTTGTGTACCTACTTCAAAGTGCTTGCACGAAGAACGCCAAGCATTTTGTCGTTTTCGGGCTGAGAAATTACGTGACACTTACAACACATAATTCCATGCAGTGACACGCAAATCCAACGCAAAAAATGAAGTAAATAGCTTGGATGTCCTGGCCATAAGGGGGAAGGGAAACTATTTCGCAAGTGAATACCTCGCATTACACTAGTACATAACATATAAATTAAATTAATCAAGATTTTTGCTCGCCAGCAATTAAGCCAAGAAGTATTTGACGGCAAAAAATGCGAAACATTCATTGGAACTGTGTGAAACAATGGCAGGCATTTACTACGGCAAAGTGTCGAATCGTCGAAACGAAAACTATTTCTTAATAGTCTGCGCGATTTGTTTGTGTTGATTCGACACGATTGAATTAAATAATTGAAGTGTTTTCGAATGCGACTTGAAAACCGCGCCCAAAATGCTTGATGTCGACAAAATTCCTGTCGGAATGCGGCTTCGATGCATTTTTCTTGGGTGTTTGCGTGTATCATGGCTATTTGAAGGGTTTGCATCAGGTGTATGTGCATTTCGAATTGGAAAAAAATAAAATGTTCTTTCGATTTGGCGGGTAGGATGTTTTTGAAGATCGTAAAAATGCTGGTGCGAATGAAATAAAATCGATTAAAAATTTCGTTCGAAAACAATATCAAAAAGACGAGCGAAATGTATGCAATTTGAATATCAGGCCTGGCGGCAAGAACAGGTTCATGCTAAAACTTAAGACAAGACAAATTGAGACAAATATGCTCAAACGAGCCAAAAGCAGACGAAACACAAAACAACAACAACAGCATATCGACGCAGAAAAAACGTCGACGTAAACAACATAAAATCCGAGAAGAGAGAAAATGCGTTTCACATTTTGAAGCGCGAGCGGCATTGAATTCTAAAGTAAAAAGTTAATTTCTTCTACTCACTCACAAAAAAAAATGGCATCTGATCAATTCCTGCCGCATAAACGAATCCAGTTCGATGGATGGCATGCCATTGTATTCTCTCTCTGTCTTTCACGTACGTTCTCTCGACAATATTTCTTTACGACTTTTTTTTTTATCGTTATTCGTTTGAGCCGCACACTTGGAGCTGCCATCAAGATGCATTTTACGGCACATTCAGCTGCAAAAATTATTCTCAGCTTTTCATTTTTGTTGCTTTTGTGTACTTGTCGTGTTTGGTTTTTGCATTTCATCCATTTGGGAGAAAAATGAATATTCAGTCGTGGCGTTGTTGTTGTTGATTCAAGTACAAAACGATGAGCGAGAAGAGAGTGTTCAAAAAGTGCACGGTAAGATGATGACAACACAGGTGAAATGAACAATTATATTTGTGAATTACGAAGCTGGTTGGGTGTAAGTCGATAAAATGGCACACAATATTGTCGATGATGAGGAGAAATGGTTGGTGTTGTTGTTTTTCCTCTCATCTTTTTGTAAAAAAGCACCATGTAATTGACTGTGTCTTTTTGCCTCAAGACAAACTAATAAACAAATTATTACCGATCGAAGTCCGTGTATGTGTGCTGCTAATAATGAGCAAAAATTATGTCTCTCACAAAGAGACAGAGACACTGAGGCCGTTCACTCATTTATCTTAGTGACACCATCGGTTCGTTGGCCATAGTCGATTGGCAATCTTGATAGCCTGCAGAGAAATACAGATTTGTTTTTTTTTCTTTCTTGCATTCGGTGTCTCCGTCAGAATGTTAAAGCCAATATCTGAAATGCACAGACAAAGAAATCCACACAACATGGCAAATGATGCAATCGCATCGAATAAAAATAAATACTAAATGGCAGTAAACAAAAAAGCAACACAACATCCAAATAAATAGTACAACGTGGCACAACGCAGAGCATGTAATTAATATTGAACAGTGCAAAATCGAACGCAGAAAAAAGCGCCAAGAGAGGGAGAGCAGAAAAAAACTGCACACTAAATTTAATTTTCTCCATTGCATACCTTTTCCATTTGCTTGATGCCAATTTTGCTTGTTTTTTTCCTTGTTGTTGTTGTTTTGTGCGTGTGAGTTGTTGTGTGTGTGCGCGCGCGCACAACACTGGCCATAAAAAGTGTACTTTGCTTCGACCGAAATGCCTTTTTTCATTCCGCATCACCTCGTTTTTAGCTTAATTCATTCTCGGGTGAGCTGAGCACCGTGACTGGGAGAGAGAACCAAGTTACAGGTAAACAAGCATTTCCAACCAAATTGCTGCTGCTGCTGTGTGCGCTAAATGATCTCTCAGTCAGCAAAGAGATTTTTCCAATTCCATTCAACCCGATAATTTGCATTCGCATTTTTATAATTTATTCCTGTTGCAAACAAACAAAAAAGAACCCACTTAAACTGGATCGAATGCGAAAATTCACTCGCGTGAGTCATTTGAAATTACTGGAATTAGTGGAAGTGTGCGAATTCCAAGAAATGCATCGAAATGAAAAAGGAATGCTAGAAATAGTCGATAGTTTACGTTGAAAAGACACATCGCAGCAGACACCTTCCGAAACATATATTCCTATCGGCCATTTTATTTTCGTAGACTGAATTCAATTTGTGTTTTGCCTTCGTATTTTGTTGATTTCTTTTTCATTTACTTTGAATTGAATAAAATATTCTTAGAAAATGTCGGCCGCATTTTAGTGCAAATTCATTTATTTCAATACACCCTGTTCGAAGCATTGCTTCCGTTGCCATTTCAATCATCAGCAGCATATAAAATATACCGCGTATTTTTCGTGCAATGCAAAACTCATTCCAATCCGTTTGCTCTTACTAATGCTGTTATCTGTGATAACAACTTAAATTTGTTTACGCCAATGATATTATTTAGTGCATAATTTTCCTGGTTCTATTCAATGCAAAAAAGACGAAGAAAAACGACAAGCAAAGCATAAAATGACTGCCAGCGATAATAAGATATACATATTCATTTGTGGTTGGCAACTGTAAATAAGCGACCATTTACATTCCTCCCGTATGAAAAAATAAAATCATTTAATTGGCAATTATTTATTGATTTTTCTGCTTTGGCATGACTTTCTTCTTATTTGTGTATGCATTCTGTTTTCCCTTCTAAATTATAGACAAACGTTGGACCAATTTTGCTATCGATCAATCCGTATAATGACGTTGGAAATCCGTTGACATTGTCATCGACGAGAACATTAGAATTGGCGTCACAATTACGAAAAATCGTTTTGGAAGCGGTTCGTCAACAGGCTGAAACTGGATATCCGCAGGCGATCATTTTATCCGGCACATCTGGGGCAGGTAAAACCCACTGTTCCATGCTTTTGTTACGGCAATTGTTTGCCGTGGCTGGTGGCGGCCCCGAAACAGATGCATTCAAACATTTAGCCGCCGCATTCACGGTGCTTCGATCACTTGGTTCGGCGAAAACATCGACCAATTCAGAGTCCAGTCGAATTGTAAGTGATGGTTACACTTTTTATTTTTGTTATAAAGAAAAACTTTTGAATTCAATTGTGTTTTGTTTGTTTGTTTCCGAATTAAGGGGCAATTTATCGAAGTGCAAGTCACAGATGGTGCATTATATCGAACAAAAATCCATTGTTACTTCTTGGATCAAACACGTGTCATTCGGCCGTTGCCCAATGAGAAGAACTATCACATATTCTATCAGATGTTGGCTGGTTTGAGTCGAGACGAGCGCATCAAATTGAATCTTGAGGGATACTCGCCAGCCAATCTACGATACTTGCAAGGAGGCGATATTCGACAGGACGAAAAGGAGGATGCAGCCCGGTTTCAAGCGTGGAAAACGTGCTTGGGTATACTCGGCATTCCATTCTTAGATGTGGTTCGAGTGTTGGCCGCCGTTTTGCTACTGGGAAACGTTCAATTTGTCGACGGTCAGGGCTTGGAAGTTGATATCAAAGGCGAATCCGAATTGAATTCAATCAGTTGCCTGTTGGGAGTGCCGGCTTCGGCTTTATTCCGTGGACTGACCACCCGTACTCACAATGCCCGTAACCAAATAATTAAATCCGTTTGCGATGCAAACATGTCGAATATGACGCGAGATTCATTGGCAAAAGCACTGTACTGTCGCACCGTTGCGACAATCGTTCGTCGTGCCAACAGCTTGAAACGGCTCGGATCAACGCTCGGCACACTCAGCTCTGATTCGAATGAATCAGTACACAATCAAGGCGACATTACGAGTCAACATGCTTCAACGATTGGTGGCAATTCTGGCTCGAAATCGATGGCTGCTTTGAACAATGCCGTCAGACATGCAACCGATGGATTCATCGGAATTTTAGATATGTTTGGCTTTGAAGAGCCCAAACCCGCTCAACTCGAACATTTATGCATCAATTTATGCGCGGAAACCATGCAACATTTCTACAATACGCACATCTTCAAGAGTTCAGTGGAATCGTGCCGTGACGAAGGGATTATGGTTGATACCGATGTCGATTACGTCGACAATGTGCCATGCATTGATTTGATTTCATCGTTGCGAACGGGTTTATTGAGCATGTTGGATGCGGAATGTGCGGTACGTGGCACGGCCGAAAGCTATGTGGCTAAAATTAAAGTGCAGCATCGCAATTCAACACGTTTGGAAAATAAGCAAACCGAATTACAGGATCCACGTACATTTGCCATTCGCCATTTTGCCGGTCGCGTTGAATATGATACAACCGATTTTCTTGACACCAACCGTGATGTGGTGTCCGATGATTTGGTGTCAGTATTTTATAAGCACACTTGCAATTTTGGATTTGCCACCCATCTATTTGGTTCGGAGCTGAAGGCGTTGTATGCCGTTGAGAATGTACCACGAGGTTTGAGCTTTAGAATTGCACCCACCTCGCATACCGATTTACTCAATGGCGATGAACCCGTTTCCACATTGACACAAGATTTTCACACTCGTTTGGATAATTTACTGCGAACGCTTGTTCATGCTCGGCCGCATTTCGTTCGATGCATTCGAAGCAACGGATCGGAAGTGCCTCGAACTTTTGAACGACAGACAATTGTGAAGCAAATTCGATCGTTGCAAGTTTTGGAAACGGTGAATTTGATGGCAAGCGGTTTTCCACATCGGATGCGATTCAAACACTTCACCGGACGATATCGAATGTTAGCTCCATTCCGTATGCTTCGCCGAAATGATGACAAAGCTTTGGATGATTGCAAATTGATATTGCAAATCGCAATGGACACACCGCCCGACATTCAAGGAACAGTCACATTGTCATGGGCACCGGGGAAGAGGCATGTTTTCCTCAGCGAAGGAATTCGACAACATTTGGAGAAATTGAGAACGGATATTCGCATGAGAAGCGCCACTATCATCCAGGCAATGTGGCGAGGCTATGCACTCAGGCGACGCATTGGTTCAGTAAAACGTACAACGCGAAATGTCGTTTCGAATAATATTCATTCCAATAATACAAATACAGGTTAGTTTGAAGACATAGAACATTTTTTTCAGGCTTGAACTCTTCTCTTTCATCGCTCATTTCCTTCGCGCTTCCTTACATCGTAATTTGTTTCCCCATTAAAAATATGGTTATAATACTTTGTTGTTTAAACCAATGGTAATAAAATTAAAATGTGAATTTTTCCCTCTGTTTATAGCCAATCGTCCGACAGCTAAAACCGCAGCTGCACGAGTGACTCGTCCGCGACCGCAACCAATCGCTGGAACACCGCCACCTGATCCAAACGAAAAGTGCGATGCGAATATCATTCAGCAAACGTGTAATCTCTTTGGTCTTGATTTGGTATGTATCACGTTACAATGTGTTGAATTAAATCCAAAGAAATACTACTCGATTCTCGGTGACAGTCTTTCTCTATTACAAATTTTTCATGATTTATTTCATTTTTTCAGGAGCGACCACCGCCAGTTCCGCCATCTCGATCGTATACTGTGACCGGAAACTCAAAATTGGGCTATCCACAAACTCGCCTCATGAAAATGAATTTCCCTGAATTTTCGGCACTGAATCCTCCTACGAAGCAGTTGCGTAAAGGAGAAACAGTCACTGTGGTCGGTGCGTCACACCGACGCGGCCATCTAATCGTGCAACACAAGGGTGTTACATTCAACGTTCCATTCCAATACATGGAACTGGTGAAAACGGTTCCAAATGGACCCGTGAATATTTAATAGAAATCACGCAATTTAATACACATCTAGAATTTTTTAAGCAAAAAAAAAAGAAGACTGTAAATAACTGAACTCTTTATTCGAGCAAATAATTATCGTAATATCCGTCTAAGAATTAAGCAATTTTAAACAAGAATGTATAAAATGAATTCGTTTCAGTCCACAACGCAAATAATATTAGTGTATGCTATAAGTTTCATAATAAAATCGAAGCAATCTTATAACTCTAATGTCAGAGTGAGAAAAAAAAAACAGTTTTGAATTGGCCATTTGCAATGATGCATTTGATGCAACGAGTGATTTTGTCTTTCAAATAAAAAAATTACGGCAAACATCGGATAAATTCTATGATGTAAGAGTTTAATGACACATTATCGCCTTTTTCCTTTCGTTACAAGATATCATTCTTCGTTCAAAAAAAAAAGCAAAATCCGAAGAACTGAAGTTATTAATTTGCCACGAATGAAAAATGTGCGCTACGATTATGACATGGAAATGATGCAAGTTTCCTCATTCATGCGATTTCGCTGTACGTTCAGCAAAACAATAAGTGCCAAGCGATAAGTTTTTATGTAAATAGTACTATGATTACGATAAGAAGCTTCTTGATATTAATTTTTGTTTTCATTGCAATTTATAGAGAGAGAGAATATAATTCCCCATATTGCGAGAGTGATCCACTTGACAATAAAAAAAAAATCTCAGAATTTATTGAAAGAAAAAACCGCTTCCGCTTATAGCAATTTAAGACAAACATCCTGACTGGCATTCACTTTTCTCTCCCATTATCGGCATTTATATTTTTCATATATATTTGTAGAACAGAAAATAAACAATGCAATTGCAACAATTCCAATAAAGTTTTTCAATCAAGTGTTTTATTTTACTTCAATCTTATGACGTCGTTTTTTCAGCTGATGAAAATACTATTTTCATCATTTTTTCCGTGAGAAGAGGTAAGGAGGAGACCTTTTGAATGAATGCATTTGACCTCAATCACTGTTTGAATCAAGAGATAGAAAAAAAATGTGTGCAATGAGTTATGAACAAAGCTATTTATCGCCCACTGAAGCTAACTAATTGTGAGTCACATTGAATTCATTTGGTACGTAGCCTATAAGCTAAAGCATTGATTTTGACGTCTTCAGCATTCGTCACTCAATACATAAAAATTACACGGTGTTGCAATTCATTACATTTAATGAGTCAACCAGCTCTGCCAAAAAAAAAATCAATTAGAACAGCGATAAAAATAGATTTGATCTTGATATTTTGACGAAGGACGCAAGCAAATCATGGGAATTGTTTTGTTATCGCTTAATCAGCCGGTTTGTCAAATAAACGACGGCAACCAATGATTCAAACACCCAACAAAATCGGATCATTTTATTCAAAACAGAAACCCCAGACTTTGTCATACTGTCAAACTAACCGACGCGATGCATTTACATAAAGTTAAATGCTTCACCTACGCTTCTCGATTTCAAGCAATCGGTGGTGAGCATACACACAACCGCTCACATCCTGATTGGTGGGTGATTCAATGGCAAGCAATCCACAGGAAAATCTGTCGGACGTGAAATGTGTGTAAATAACAGAAGTGAAATAGCATTTTTTTGCTCGCTACCCCAACAAATTTATTTGCTCTGTATTGTTATCAGAATTTATTATTGTACAAACGGTCATCTCGCTGAAAAGCCTCCGTTGTGTATGAATGGAGTCCGAATGAACCAGCGATGAACAAGGGAAGAGTGAAGAAAAAAACGCGAGCTGATGACGTTATTTAGCTCCATCACTCAAGTGGAAAACGATTGCAATGCGAAATCAACAAATGGTTTTAACGGGTAACCGGATTTTTTTTTCGCGCGCGTCAAGCAACCTCAAGAGAGAGAGAGAGAGAATTGCAACGAAATCGAGAGAAAAACCATTGCTTACTCCGCCCATTTTCCAGCAACAAAATCAACTGATTGCGATTTCCCCTAGTTTTTCCGCGCGCGCTCGTCTAACCAGCAAACCCGTGTTGCGAATTATTGTTGATGGAAAATGAGCTTACGTTAGATTTCAAAACGAGCGAAAAAACAAAGCGGAGAGCACGAACACCGCTTTTTTAGCATCGAAGCGAGCGAGCATATAAATTGCGTGGCACTCGATGCCATCGGCTCATTGTTGTTTGAAACTCTGTCACGTGCGCTGGTAGCACTGAATCACTTTCGTAGACAATTTTCAAAACCAAGAAACTGTAACTTTTATAGTGTGCCAGAAGTCATATCTTCAACAAGTTGTGCATTTACAATTTCACGTGTAATCAAACATAAATTAAGCAAGCAAAACAGAACCACCACACAAGGTTTCGTGCATTTTTTAACAGTGAACTTGAGAAGCTCACAGGGATTTTCATCGACTGAACAAAGCGATTGCGAATTGCATTCTTTTTCGGGAACTTCTTTCTCACATCAGAAAACAAAGAATCTTCTCGAGTAAGTAATAACGAATTTTATTCCACATTTTTTCTCACAACATTTTCCAGGAAGTCATGAATTATTTAAATTTCAGCTTTGAGAAATAATCTTCTTTTGTGTGCTTTTTTGTGTTAAATTTCTTTTTTTTCTGTGTAACACCCATTGTGCGAATGTTTCTCCGTGTTAAACGCCATGTCAACTGTTGTCCGATAAAAGGCCAATATTTTTTTTTTCTGTATTACGATGTATGGTGAAGTTTTGCAGTGAAAAATGCGCCAGAGAGCGAAAGAGCATTGCATTGAACAATCGATTGACCGACTACACTATAATAATTGTAATGACATCCTTTTATCGGAGAACATTGACTACGAATACCCACTCACCATTAGCTCGAACGCCAACAGACGATAACCTCGATTAATTTCATGCGCTACAGCAAAATAAATGGCAAATAATTTAATAAACGTTGAGTCACTCACTGCAAATCAGTTTTTGCAGACATACACAGTTTGTACGAGAAGAGAAAATCCTGTTCGATCCAGTATTTGCAATGCTGTGCATTTTGCATAAAATGAACATGACCATTTGGCGACTATGCCAATATAAATTGAGCTTTCGGTTTTGTGTCCATTGTGCAGTTTGATTCAGAAATTCTGAATTAGCACTTTCAATTCAGAGGATTTTTCTACTCAAGTGAATCAAAATGGAAGCATTTGTTTCGGGACGAACCCGAGTGTGGTTGGTATTAAAGCAATTCCATTTCGATGTGGGTAGAGATTTTCCAGCCCCGGAGATACATACAGAAAATAATGAGACAATTTAATTTTGACCACCTATCGCTTATGGACTATGCTCACTTATGTGGAATCACCATTTCTCCGATTATGCCATTTCTTTCGATTCTTTATCTGGATTCATCCATAAAATCCATTGTCGAATGAAACTACCGACTGTGAGATGGTAACGCATGCCATCAATTGTCGTATGTCGTCAAATGCGCAATTTTCCAATAAAATCGAACAATGACAAACATTTGGTTTGCGTTTTAAATGTGTCGAACGTTGGCAAACAGATTTATCAACACAAAATCCCGAGATCAAACCATTTCAAATCCACAGTTTCCATTTCTTTTGTATTGTAAATGTCATCATAATCGGTCTCATTAATATTATCACTTGTGTGGATTTTGAATTTATTGCTGAAATAATGACGCTATCAGAAGTCTAATTAATCAATGGTTTCTGATTTTAAATCCATGATTAATGATAAAATTAATTTCAAAACCGATCGATACCAGACGCTAGACGATGTTCGTTACAATTCAACCGTAATTGATTTTTAATTTGGCATACCACTGCCGGGGCAGGTTGATGAAAATGCAACTTTTGACGCAATTTATGTTGAACCCACTTTCAACGCATATGGACAAGGGTCAGGACAGTAACGTTACAATTCGCACGCCTGAAAAATGAAAAGGAACGGTCGGTAACGTTACAAAAGAAACCGCAGAAAAAGATTTTCTTACGAAAAAATTATCCGAACTGGATGAAAATGTCAGAAAATATAAATTTTATGCGAATATTCATTTTTTGTCTGGTTTCGTCTTACTGACCCTTGCTCATATCAATTTGTGTGCCGTCAAAATTGACCTTTTCCGAACTCCGAAAGAAAATCTAAACAAAAACTAAAGCTTGGAATTGGATCCCACGTTCGTAAATTCAATCACAAATGCATGGCTATTCACCATATCGATCTCACTCAATATACCATTTCCGTAATGAATGGCATGTCGACGCACCGCACAAATTTGATTTTGATGACAACAGACAGAGTTAAAACATTCGGGCAAAACATTTTTCTGTCTGGCGTTGACCAATTTCATCCATCGAATTTCGGTCAAAACACGAAAATGATGGACGGTAGATTTTCCGGGGATCAATCAATTTACTATTAACCTTTTTTGCTCTATTCACTACGACTGAAAAATGGGTCATTGAATTACGTAATCGATACGCGGTAAACAAGTTAAATGGAAAAAACCGAAATTTCTGCGAATTCGTTGAATTTTGAACAGGGTAGAAAATCCGCATTTTACATTGTATTCAAAACAAATTTTACAAATAATCTAGACAATAATTACCTGATCCATTTTTCATCACTTGGTCTGCCCAAGGTGCAAAATGTAAAGTATTTGAATACTCAAAACAAAAATTATTACCAAATTGTTTCTGAGAAAAAAAAGTTTTTTTTCCTTATAAAACAAGCTTCTAACTTGTTGCATTGTGTGGGTAAAATTTGAAACATTTCCATAACTGGTGTGAATAACAAGAAGAACGGGATGTTATGACGTGCGTTCATTAAAAATTCATTTGTTCCTGTAATTATATCATATCACATTATATGTATCATTCATGAAAAATCGCACCAAAAATGCAAATAACTTGGATCATTTTCCGGGCTACTGCGAATTTCTTTGATATGTCATGGAATTTAAACGCAAATTTAATTAACTACATCGGAACGGCACTGGCCAGAAGGGATCATGGAGAAAAATAATACAAAATAAAGGATTTCCATAAAATTTCGGTTTGGAAAACAATTGATTTTTGTTTTCATCATAATATTTGTTTTGCTAAATATTTAGCATCTCCAAATATTTGTTTGAAGTCTTTCAAGTGAATCGTCCAAACGGTGTAGACTAGAATCATCGACGGAATTAGTTTTGCAGACAAGATTCTTTGAAATTCGGTGAAGTAGCATTTCTATGGATTTATCATTAAGTAAATTGAATAACTCGGTTTGAAATCAACAGACGACTCCTCTATTTTTGGGACCCAAATTTGTTCACATGGGCTATTTTCTTATAATTTCATTTCGCACAAAATTGGTAGCAGAACAACTTTTTTTTCGTCCCACCACATGCATGTGAAATATCTCTAATTTTCTTCTATAGTATTTAGTTGACTAATTGAAATAAAATTAGAAAAACAGATCGACTACCCACAGTCTTATAGCCGTTTTGGCACAGTTAAATTTTCTTTCAAGGTTACTCGAAAATATTTTAAGCGTCTTTCATAAGTTCTTCGTACACTGTATACTTTGTCAAACTATAACTATTTTGTGGTACGCAATGGCCAAGTCAAAATTCCATTCCAGGTTCTGGTATTTTATTTAAAATTATTCAAATGTTCATGCGCTACAAAAATTTACATTATTTCGGCAACAGCACCCAAAAATGCATATTCATCGCTCGTATGAACTTGCTTGCTATCTCCAACTAATGGTGTGTTTTATACACAATGCATTAATTAGTACACACACTTATGAATATGTATTTCATTAGAACACAACATTACATCATCAAACAATTTTTTTCATTTTATCTTTTAATAGTTGACCTGACACTAAATATTAGTTCCAAATTGTGGAGCTTGCAATCGTTGTTGGATACAAATATGATTCATCGATTCTTTTATCAGTCACATTTTTTGCTCGTTGCTTCGCATTTTTTTTAGCCTATTTTGCACCGATTTCTTTCTCCTGGTGTACCGAGAAGTTTTAACGGTCCATACTTACTTCGTCTGCTATAATCTTTCATTCTACATAGATTTTGGTTCATATCGCAAACGTGTTGCTCTTCATCGGCATTGGTTTTACTATTTCAAGAAAAATCATGTCTTCATAGAAATTCAATAATTCTCTGGCATTCGCTCCGAATATTCTTCGATCACTGCAAAATTATAAAATTCGACTACATATAGGCGATATTTATTTTTTTAGCACTTACTTCTCAAACTCAATATCTGCGTTCTCCTATCATTATTCTGATCTAGCTCAAAGGAAGTTATAGAAGTCCTAGCGGCAATTGCAATTACATCTCTGTGGTGGCGAAAATAATATGAAATGATACCAAAAAAAAGACTGTAATAATGGCTAAGTAACTCACTTGAACCCGTGAGCATCAAAACGACTTATTAAACAATCGCCGAACAAAACGATACAAGAAAAAACTATCAAACAAAACACACGTTAAAAACGTAACACAGCAGGACGGTACCGTTCAAAACGAAACTCCGCTGTGCTACACATTACCGCTGTGGTACGTTTTGTTCGGTAGTTTTTTCTTGTATCGTTTTGTTCGGCGATTGTTTAATAAGTCGTTTTTATGCTCACGGGTTCACTTATGCTGTGTACAAATCTATTCCAGAATATCTTTTCAAGCTTTGATGCATCTTCATAAGAAGAATTTTCGGTTGGTCTATTATCCGGCAAAATTCAATCGGATCCGGGTTGGTGGAATTTGAGATTACCGTGTGTGAATAATGATTTTTTACTTACCAAAGCAACAATATTCGAATTGATTGAGGATTCCATTAGAACTTTACCGATTGTCGAATCGAATACAATAGTTGATCAATAATTTTTTGCATTTTGGTTGTCATATTTCCGAAGCACAAATGTTTTTTACATTCTTGTAACTTAATTTATTGAATAAATTTCATAAATATATATTCACTTCTGAAATTTAAATATTCCAATTTATTTCGTTTGTATCTTGGGCTCATCGAAGGTGGTTGAAGGTCAAAATGAAAAAAAAAATGATGAAGCATTCAAGAATTGTGTCTTATTAGCGTCAAATTATCATTAGATTCTTTTCTAAGTTACAATTTCTCTTTAAAAATTGAATGTGTCAGTTACTAATTGAACTTGACGCTTTGTGATTGTAATGCACTGCAAAGATTGTTGCATCCTATTCTAGTGATAGAGTTTTTAACGGAAAATACTACAAAAGTGCCGTTACTCATGAGCAATGTTAGCTTATCAAAGATGCATCATCTAATTGGGAAAAGCTTCAATGTCATATTTTCTGCTTCTACATTTTACATTAGTTACCCATTATTACAACATTATCCATCCGCAACAATGCTTCAACGAATCGATTCTCAATCAGTCATATCATGTTCGATCCATTAACAGTTTTCATAATATACACTTCGTCCTTTCAAACGGTCAACATA